AAGACAAGCTACACCCTATGGTCTCCGTAGAGTGGACTGATCATTCTTGTTTTTAATAGCAGACAAATTAATCGGCATAACATTTATTCCAATTTGCGTAGATGAGAGAAAGAGGTTCGTCGCTAGGATGTATGCATGTGGTATAATTTTTGTTCTAGCCTGTGATCAGGCTAAATTTTCCACGCTTCTTTAATTTACGAAAAGTTTCCTTGAAAACATTCTATGTACATTAAAAACTTTGACTGAAAGAAATCGGACAAGTAGAGCCAAAGTTGTATTATTAATTTTTAAGTTCTGTAGTCAATGAGTCAGTAGTGATGAAGCCGCAGTTAATATGTCAAACCGAAGTTCAAAAACGATAATTTGTTCAAGTTTGAGAGTTCAAGCATGCATGCAGTGAAGAGCACTGAATTAACATCTGCCAAGATTTATTCCGGCTCTTAGATGCATTCAATGCGCGCGAAAAACAGAGCATTTTACTAACATTACAAGCTTTGAATGAAAGAAATTGGACAAGTAGAACCGAAGTTATATAGATTTATGAGACTTGTTTCGGGGCGGTGCACAATTAACATCGAAATTAACATGTTACGTGATTGACTACAAAACTTTAGTCAGTGCCGCAAGACTTTTTCATCGATGTCCGTCCAATGTACAAAACATTCTACAACAGTTTACTAACATTACAAACTTTGAATGAAAAAAATCGGACTAGTAGAACCAAAGTTATATATATAAATATATTTTTACTTTGAAACTTGGTTTCGGGGGTTGCACAATAATTTAAGATTGAGACTTTGTTTCGGTATGTTGCACAATTGAGTGTCGTAAAACCAAACCCAAAACCAAAGCAATTACAATGGCCAATCACAACAAACAAACAACACAACGAACCAATGAAAACTCGAAGCAAATACACATAACCGGCGTCATGTCAAGCACAGAATAAACACTTGTGAGTCGCAATGTTGGTTTTGGTTTCCGGCATCTGATTGGTTGAGTAGGTGGCCCGAGTTTTTTAAACCAATCAGAGAGCACCGTAAAGCATCGACACTCAATTGAAAACCGCACAATTAACATGTTACGTGATTGACAACAAAACCTTAGTCAGTGCCGCAATACTTTTCCCCCATTATGTGTCCAATGCACATGACATTCTACAGCATTTTACTAACATTACAAATTTTGAATGAAAGAAATCGGACGAGTAGAACCAAAGTTAATTATATATATATTTTTAAGTTTGAGACTTGGTTTTGGGATGTTGCACAACGCCCACTCCCTGTCGAAACGAGTTACAATAAATAATACGTCACAACAATGCCCGGCCCAGCCCTGAAAAACAATAAAGGTAGTGCCTATAGTGGGCGAATGAAATTAGAGGTTCCAGGCAGGTAGTGTCTTATATTAATTACTGCACAATTAACATGTTACGTGATTGACAACAAAACCTTAGTCAGTGCCGCAAGACTTTTCCCCCATTATATGTCCAATGCACATGACATTCTACAGCATTTTACTAACATTACAAATTTTGAATGAAAGAAATCGGACGAGTAGAACCAAAGTTAATTATATATATATTTTTAAGTTTGAGACTTGGTTTCGGGATGTTCCGGCACAACGCCCACCGCCTGTCGAAACGAGTTACAATAAATAATAGGTCACAACAATGCCCCTAGTCTCCCGCGCAGCCGTTATTTGTCTCGTCACGCAACGTTGCGTGACGAGACAAATAACGGCTGCGCGGGAGACTACAATGCCCCTAGCCCAGAAAAAACAAACAATAAAGGTTTATAGTGGGCGAATGAAATTAGAGGTTCCGGGGAGGTAGTGTCTTAATTACTGCACAATTAACATGCTACGTGATTGACTACAAAACATTTTACTAACACAACAAGGAAGAAACCAGACAAGTAGAACCAAAATTATGTATGTATTTTTTAAGTAATACTTTGAGACTTGTGATTCTTGAGACTCGGGTGTTGCACAATTAATCAACAACAACACCTTAGTCAGTGCGCATGCGTGTGCCAGTGTCGCCAGACTTTTCCCCCATATCCATCCAATACACAAAACATTCTACAACATTTTACTAACATTACAAACTTTGAATGAAAAGCGCACGCGACAATCCCGAAACGTATTGTGGGTAGTTTTAAGTTCACTGTTCCTTGACTTCAGCATTTCATGGAAATCTGAGAAAATGTCACGAGACGCCATTGAAGTATGCTTGCGAGTGCTAAAAGAAAGCAACAAAAGTTGGTTCGACAGCTACAGTGTCAGGAACGTACCTTGCTGATCATGTCCCAGATTACCTTTCGGGATTGTCGCGTGCGCTTTTTTCCGACAACCTTTCTCGAATTAGCTGTATATATTTGTAAGTTTGTATCAGACTTGATTTCGGGGTGCAGTTTACTATAGTCAGTGTGTCGCAATAATTTTTCCTCGATTTCTATAGCATTTTACTAACATTGCAAAAAGATAGAAATCGGACGAGTAGAACCGAAGATATATTTGTGACTTGAATGAAAAGCGCACGCGACAATCCCGAAACGTATTGTGGGTAGTTTTAAGTTCACTGTTCCTTGACTTCAGCATTTCATCGAAATCTGAGAAAATTTCACGAGACGCCATTGAAGTATGCCCTTGGGTCCTTTAAAACAAGTCACAACAATGCCCTTAGCCCTGAAAAACAATAAAGGCGCACTACCTTTAAAGGTAGGGAGGTAGTGACTTAATTACTACCCAATTAACATGCTACGCGATTGACTACAAAACCTTAGTGCCGCAAGTCTTTTTCCCCAATATCCGTTCAATGCATTTTGCAGTATTTTGCTAACATTACAAACTTTGAATGAAAAAAATCGGACGAGTACAACCAAAGTTATAAATTTTAAAGATTGAGACTAAACAAGTCTGTTCATTGTAGTGAACCGTGATTAGGAAAAAGATGCCGTAAATTGCATGTTATTAGCGCACTTTGGTAGAGTAGCTTAGAGTGGTCAGAGTATGTGGGCTCTTTTAAGAGCTCAATTGCATTTAATGGTTTCCGTTCCTTATAAAAATTGCCAAGTACATGCTTCACGCGTGCTTGAGCATTCGCTTTCAGCACGCAACATGCGCCAAAGGGCGTGTGTTTGCGGTGAAACGTAAGGCTACCATTTCGTATTTAATGATTTGAACAATTTCGTGTTTAGCCATCGAGAAACTTGAATTATCGATTTTCTCGGTTAGAGCGAGGAGACGGCTGACACTTCAGACTAAGGTATTGGTGGTTTTCATCAACATTACAAAAACTGTTTGCTTGCATGACCAACATCAGAAAATTAACAGGTAAAAGAACTGGCAGAAAGAAACGTTTTGTCCAAATTATAGCTTTGTAGCGTTTTTCATAACCGAGTTATTGCCAAACTAATTTTCAGAAAATTACAGTATTTAGTATACCGCCGCCATGTTTGTGTCCTTCAGAGGGGAACAAATATGGCCGCCATAAGATCGCACAAGAAGTAGAGTAGATTCTACCGTCGATATCATTAGCTTTCACTTCAAATCTGTTTAGACATCACTTCTAAATTATTATCACGTCTGAAAATTTAAAAATGTCATTAAAATATCCGTTTTTGTGACAGTTCAGAAACACGTTCATCCGGGACTTCGCAAATTTCAAAATACTCTAATTCCAAAACGAAGCACTGGATCAATACCAAACTTTGCATAGAGATTAATGATTTCCATGTCTAGAAGATATAAAAATAATAGCTTTGCAGGATTGACAGTTTAGATTTTAGAATTTTGATGACGTCAGATGAAAACAAAGAATTAGTGAAAGAAAAATAACAGACCTTGAGCTCAGCAAAAAGTTTAAAAATCCAAACAAATTACCCCCCTCAGTCCGTGAAGTACTCTTTCCGGGCTTAGTTTCCCATGAGTCGTAGCTAGTCGTGGTTCTTACGAGGCTAGAAAGGAGTAAAAGCACACCACGAGACTCACGAGCACGTGGAAACTGCCTTGTCGCCTGATATTGCAGCGTGATGGTGCGATGAGTTGACAGTAGACTTTGGCCTGTGTACACTTGTAGGGGTCATGAATGGCCCTCAAAATTTTCAAGTGCTCGCAAAATTAGGCTTCTGCTCGAATTGCTCGCAAAATTTTAGCAGTGGGTGCTCGTTTGCTCGTGTTCGCATATTTTTACAAGTGCTCGTATACTCGGTTTTTAGCAAAGGTAGTTTTTTGCAGAGTGCTCGTTGCACTAGTATGTTTGTAAAAGGCTTTTTACTCGGCAAAGGGACTCGATATAAAATAAATTTATGGAAATGCCTATGACATAAACAGCACTAAGGGCCCATTAACCCCAGTTTATCATGTTTATAGAATCAACTTCTAACAATATATTTATCAACACCTGTTAAGATAACGATATTTTTTCTGCAAAATAACTCGCTTTAAATTTGGTTCAAGCCCTTATACGCAACGGAACCAAAGCCGATTACTTGTAAATAACTAAGTGTCGGTGATAAAGACATCGGGTGGTCTTCGGCAATCTTCGGGAGACTATCGGAAATACGTCTAACCTTCCGATCACGTTCGGAGGACCTCGGGTGATTTTCAGAAATCTTCGGGTCATCTTAGGAACGGTTCGGGTCATCTTTGGAAATCGTCGGGAGTCTTCGGGTCAATTTTGGAATCTTCGGAAGTCCTCGGGCGATCTTCGGGAATTTTCGGAGTAATTCTGCCCTGACAACGACAGAGAACAGCTCGGAACACCCTTAAAAAACTAAACTAAACCCCCAAAAATCTACCTGTGCTTCTAAACATTGCATATAAGGGCTTGAACTAACTTATTTGGTGTTTTTCTACCTTTGTAAACTGTTATTTTGAGGCCGTTTCTTCAATTTGAAGCCGGTGATTTTGCACTTCGCAAAAATGACTTAAATTATCGTGACATAGCTAAGAAATGGTGTAAAAACGGAATTTTACGGTACACTGTAACCGTGGGAGACGCGGTGGCCTAATGGTTAGCGCGCTGGACTCGAGATCGAGCGGTCCGGGTTCAAGCCCTGACTGGGGTGACCGTGTTGTGTTCTTGGACAAGACATTTTACTGTCACAGTGCCTCTCTCCACCCTGGAGTATAAATGGGTACCGGCAACAAAACGCTGGGGGGTAACCTGCGATGGACTAGCATCCCATCCAGGGGAGTAGCAATACTCCTAGTCGGCCTTCATGCTACAGAAACCGGGATAAACTCCGGCAGTTGTGCGCCACTAGGCTCGTGAAGACATAACCTATATGTTTCCCCATTACAGAACGGTGAATTTTGAGTGCTGTTACTAAGATGGCTTCTTACCGCTATGTTCCTCCGGACGAATTCACTCCCGAGTCGCGAGTAAACTGGATCAGTTTGGGCAGGATAACAAAATGGACTCAAGAGGAAGAAGGAGTTGTGGATAAATTCACCCTCTACTTTGACGGAGACCTGAAAGTCTACATCTACTTCCTGTCTCACACCACGTTCCGTGTGCGATTCAACCCCGATCCAGCAGCGCCGTACGTCAAGAGCCGCTCCCCGGCCACGACAACGGAACGCATCGAGCCGTCAGATCTGAAGGTGAAAGAAGAAGGTGGATTACTGAAGATAGTTACGCACAAGATCGAGGTCCGCATCAACTTGAAGAAGTACGCGTTATCTGTGTATAAAGACGGGCAGTTGATCAGCGCCGACCCGCAAGACTACAATCTGGTCTACGTGAAACGTGAAGACGGTGGCGAAGCTGTCGCTCAGTTTAAGATAGCGCCGACTAACGCGCAGTACGTCGGATTCGGAGAGAAGGCCGGGGCCACGGTTAATAAGCGCCGCGTTCCTAAACAGCATTTCTATGGCCAGTACGCCGGTGGGGATGAGAAGATAGGAGCCGCCATGACGTTTTTTAACTTTGATAACTTCGGCTACACTGCGCCTGATCTGACACCCGAGGGCGAGGTACAAGGGGCGCTGAATCCTAATTCTCCATTATACCAGTCTTCGCCGTTCCTCATCGAGCACAATCCGAGTCCCGATGGAGCGTTCGCTGGACCTTCGTACGCCTATGGAATCCTGGTCGATAATACTTCGCAGACGTTCGTGAACCTTCGTCAGGGAGATCAATACTACATCGGAGCACTGCATGGAGAGCTTGATTACTACTTCTTTGCTGGCAGGAATGTAGCTGAAGTACTGAACGAGTTCACTCAGCTGACAGGACGCACTCGACTGAAGCCCAAGTACGTGTTTGGTTATCACCAGGGAGGCTACGGTCCGAACTACAACACCAAGTGGAAGCTGCTGGAGGTGGCGCTCAAGTATCGGCAGTGGTTGATTCCAATTGATGGGCTCCACGTGGATGTCGATTTGCAGGACAACTACCGCACGTTCACGCACAGCGAGAAAAAGTTCCCTGATCCTAAAGAGATGTTTGATGCCTTGCATGACTGGGGATTCAAGTGTAGTACCAACATTACACCCATCATCAGCAGCAATACAGATGAAGATGGCAATTACAGTCCCTACAAAGCACTGGACACTGGAATAGCAAGTGGTCACTTTGTGATGAACACCAGAGAGGACGGCAGTGGCACCCATGATCCATACATTGGTAATGTCAACTATGGGCGTGGTCAACTGACATGGGGACATTATCCTGATCTGGGAAAGCACGATGTACAAAAATGGTGGGGCGAGCAGTACCGCGACCTGTTAGACTGGGGTTTGGACTTCGTCTGGCAGGACATGACCACTCCAGCGATGAAAGCCAGTGTTCATCAACCCGACTGTGAACTGTTGTCATTTCCTATGGATTTGATGCTCAGCGATAACGAGGAGACCAGGTTTGTGTTCGTTCTATCTTCTAAAATTCTCACTTTCCCAGCGGAATGGTATCCGTGATTTCCCCTGTTATAAACATTCCCAAGTCTACACACCCATCAGGCTGTTAATATAGGCACACCACGGTGGAAATGGCAACGAGAACGTCGCAAAACAAAAGGTTCAATGAGCTGTACAATATTTCTGCGCATGCGTTATACGTCTCGATACATTTCTTAACAGATCTCAGCAAAACAAAAACATGAAAGACCAATGCAAATTCTGCTACAACCTCGTTCCCAGGGTCTTTCTTCTTCCCGCCAAAAGCGATTGAAAAGAGACTCTTTTCAATCGCTTTTGGCGGGAAGAAGAGAGACCCTGGGAACGAGGTTGATTCTGCTATTGTGGAGAACGTGAACCACGACAACGAATTTTTCGTGTTTCCAATTGAAATTAAACGTTGTCTTTATATTTTCAGCTCGATTGAGAATATGCTGACACCGATAGACACTCTGAATAGAAGTAGCTCGGCGTTATCTTCATGATTGCTACCGGGGGGGGGGGGGGGGGGGTACTCTCTTATATAAGCTATATAGGTATGTGCGGCGCCAAAGGGTATGGTCGTTTTTTTTAGCCGTTTTGGTAGGAAAACGGGTATAGCTTTTGAACATTTTGGTCTCAAATTGGGTATGTTTTGCCTACGTGTCTGAAATAGGGTATAGATTGTTGCCATTTTGGCTTTAAAAAGGGGACATTTTAAGGGTCAGGGCCCAGTTGTTCAAAGGGTGGATAACGCTATCCACCGGATAAATCACTATCCAGTGGATAAGTGTTAGCAAAAAGACAAACTACGCTATCCTCTGGATAGTGATTTATCCGGTGGATAGCGTTATCCACCCTTTGAACAACCGGCCCCAGGTCTGAAATAGGGTAGGGAAAAACACATATTTTAGTCTAAAATAGGGTAAGGGTTTCAAGACGCGCGCCGCACACCCCCACCCAAATTTTCGGGGAGTGCTCTCCCAGGGATTGCTACTAAGGTCCCTAGCTTTTGTTTCGGCAAGGCAACGCTAATAGCTATCTGCGAGATCGGATTACTTCACTGGGAACTCGAAACAACCCCATACATGTCCAGAGTTTGAAACTACTCGATTTTATTTTTGTGATATCTGTGTGTTACGAAACATTTTACTTCCCAAAGTGTCCGAGTACCGCCCGCATATCTTTTCACTGTGCGATTTAATTTAATTTCACGCTTTATATCTTCTTTAGGTATTCCGTAGTGAGTACAGCTCAAAAAGACAAAAAGCCATTTGCCAAGATCCGCTGTTTGTACAACTACAATCTGTGCAAAGCCACCTACCAGGGCCTGGAGCGCCTCAGGCCAACAGAACGCCACTTCATCATCGCTCGTGGCGGCTTTGTCGGCGTCCATCGCTATGCTGGACTGTGGACAGGCGACAGCACGTCTAACTGGGAATTCGTGCAGATGAATATCCCTCTGGTCCTTGGTATCGGTCTTTCTGCTCAGCCTGTGTCCGGGTGCGACATTGGTGGGTTCGTTGCAACACACCAGGGCCAGATTGTGGATCCCGAGTTGATCACACGTTGGGCCATCATGGAGCCTTCCTACCATGGTTCCGCAACCATTATGATAACTACACCAAGCCCTACCAGGAGCTGTACCGATACGCAGAGCCCGTACCCACGGTCTGCCGCAAGTATATTGAGCTGCGGTACCGCCTGATCCAGTACATCTACGATGCCATGTACGAGAATACAAAGACAGGCAAACCTATCTGCAGGCCTCTCTTCATGGACGAGACCAAACCAGGAGAATTCAATAATGATCCGTATGCAGATGATGACCATGGCTGGGATTACGCTGGCTATACTACTAACCGCCTGGATGATCAGTTCTTCCTGGGAAAGGACATCTTAGTGGCACCGATAGTCAATCCAGGTTTGCTTACTGTTTAACCCTTTTGTGAAAATACAAATTCCCCTTACTGGTCTCCATACATTTCTTATAGTACTAGTTGAGAGAATTTGATGATAAATCAATCCTTTAAATTTAGCTCTGATGTCAACATACAAATTATCTTTACTGGTCTCTCCATACAGCAACTAAGTGGGATAATTAATTAGATTCCTTATCAGAAAATTTCTACAGTTTCGTTGCTAATTAGTAATCCGTTTAAATCTTGTTCAATCCTAACCATGCTTGTTTATTTTCGGTTTATCATTACCTCTCAAGTGTTTTCTAGTTTAGTAAACCGCTATTTTGAGGTTTCCTTTTATTTTAAGGTATTTTTTTGCAAAAAGATGACTTACATGTAATACATCATGCCATAGTTCATTGAAATTAAAATTTATATTTTTTTACTTCGGTACCAGGTCAGTCAAACCGCGCCGTGTACCTCCCCGCTGGAAGCCTGTGGTACCATTTCACAGATGACAAATATCCACTTAAAGATCCTGTTATGGGAGGGCAGGAGTTCGGTTATTACGCTCCTTGGGACGACCCTACTAAAGACAACTGCGCCATTTACATTCGGGAAGGTGCCATTATACCAAAGCGTGAATTGGAGCAGTACATCGGTGAGTTGCACCGTCACGGCAAGGTTAATCCCATCACCTTCAGTGTCTATCCTGGCCGCAACAGCAGCTACAAGTTGTTTCTGGACGATGATGGCGTCACCAACAAAGCAGAGACAGTTCACCAGTACCGACTGACTGAGATCACCCATGAAGGTGAGTCTATGTTAACAATGTCACGTGATTAGAGTGGTTTTCAATTGAGTGTCGTAAAACCAAAACCAAAACCAAAGCAATAACACAATACAATATAAATAATACAATGGCCAATCACAGAAAAAGTAAACAACACAATAAACCAATGAGAACTCGATCGAAGCAAATGCACGTAACCGGCGCCAAGCGCGGGGAAAACGCGCGTGACCAAGTCGCGATTGGTTTTGGCTTTGCATCTAATTGGTTGAGAAGGTAGCGCGAGTGTTTTAAAACCAATCACAGAGCGTAGTAAAGCAAAACGAAAGTAATTACGGATTACGTTCGACACTGAATTGAAAACCGCTCTAAGCTGGTCAATTCATTTCCCTAATTTCTGGTCATTTGATATCATCTCCCGATAACTCGAACCTTTTCTGTATTAGGACACCAAACATAAAATCATCCCAAATTATTTATAGTCGAAATAGTTGATCCCAGAATACGA